CAGAACGCGAAGCACCCATTGATTGTCGACTAAAGGACACCAGCAATAAAGAAACTTGAACAGCTAAGCCTAAACTGGACCTGAGCCCACTGGGTAGTTAGCAGTACTGTTAGCAATGGGGGGTGCATCATCGAGTAAGGTGACGAGAAGTACCCCAAGTACAAGAAACAGGTAAGGGCTGGGAAGGGAAAAGATGGGAAATGGGAATTGGAGGCATACCAGGCTCTGACTGAGACAAACAGGCTACAATATTCATAAGGGTGGTTGTTGGTGGACTGATGTCACCTGAGGCTCAATAGCTTCTGGGACTGTATCAAAGATATAAGGTCTCAGAAATAGGCCATACATAAATCCCTAGCCTAAATGGACCCTAGCCAATATGGTCTCACGACCTACAAGGTCCCAACAACAAAGAAACCACGTGTGTAACGCCAGAGCCGATATGAAGGCTAAAGTGTGGGAAAGAAGGGGAAGGGCATCTGCAGAAAACCCTCAGGATTTTTGTGGAGAGCCTCAGATAGGAGGTGTATGGAAGAAAGATACCATAAGAGGTTGGTAAGGGTAAGATGCAGGCGAGAATATTGGGCAGGGGTAAGACTTACATTCGATTTGGGTACACCCCCAAATTGGTAATAATCTAAAAATGGATAGTCTACCCAATGGTAAGGAAGGGCATACTGATCAGAAGTCCTCTGGAGGTGTGGCGTGTTGATCCTTTACTCAATTGTGAGGCAAATTGATCAGCATGAGGGGAGGGAGGAAAACCCAAAAAGGGTTGGAAAGATTGTTCATGCAATAAGGAAGGATGAGGTGAAAGGGATAAAACATCAAAAACCTGAGACACTAAATCCAGAAAGATCGAATTAGGCCTAGATGATTCCTTAGATTGGGAATGGGAAGGAACATCAAACTCTGGAGGTGGAAAATGATGATCAAAGTCCTTGTCAGTCTGCACAGGCTCAGGAGGAGCCTGGGTAGAAAGGTTGGCTAACTTTCTGTTCAATCTCTCAACGTATAAAAGTAGATAAATCCATTGTCAGGTGACCCACATCTGAAGCCTAAGAGAAAACACTGGATGCTGGTGTAACCCCCCAAAGTGGTAACATTAACTTTGGAATTCATTGCACAGAAAAGGTTCACCAAAATCGAGTGCCGAAATAACGTGACAAGAATTAACTGATAAATACTAATATAGGAATTGGGTTGAATGAAAGCAAATTAAGTCGAAAAATAACCATTTCGTGAGGGAAGCATTAAGCACACAAAAGAGCACATCCAAAGTCAAACGCTGCCAAACAAGAAGTGATAAATTGGTAGTGGAGTGTAAAGGGAGTCATATGAGCATATCATGCTCTTATTGGTTATGAGGTGATGCATGATGATTTGCATGCGTAAAGAAAAAGTACGCATATACAGGGCAGCAATGAAAAAGAATAGCTAATCTTGTGTGGTGAGGTAAGTACCGTATCAAAAGTAGTGTCTACAATATGTAAAGCCTTTATGGATTTCATATATGTCTTTAGCTGGGAAAGACTTAGAACAGCTAGTGTTAGAATAAAAAGTTGTTATTAAGTTAATGCTGGTAAGACTGTATTTTCCAGATGTGACAAACTCCAAAGCTAATGTAGATTTTGGGAAGGGCCATTACATTATACCGAAAAGAATCAATGATGTGGTTTACAAAATTTAAAAGGATAGGTGGTCCAAGCCAATGGTCATCCACTGTGATTGTATTTGGAAGTACACTCATGAGAGAATGGTGATCAGAATTAGTCAGTGGAAAGTCAACCTGCTGTAGAGTGCAGGGTTCTTGTTGGATTAAGTGGTGTTGCAAAATAAATTACACTTTTTATCCCAAAGTAATGATGAGCTTGGTAGGACTGCGAATATCATCACTTGTGAGAAAACGTCATTTCAATATACTCTTGGGTATTTGACTCTTCAAATTTCATTTTTTGTGATAACTTTTGAATCATGATGCTCACTAGAACTCAGGTTCGTGTCGCATGTACTGCCTTCGGGATGGCTCAGAAACTAGTCGCAGACATGCTCCGAGAATTCAAGTCGGAGCTTTCATTCAACAATGCACAGAAGAAATGTTGAAAAATTTGCCAAATGTGAGACACAAACGTGAAACCTTGATTCGTGTTCTCACTGATGTGCTCGCAGAGACAGCCACAAAAACAGACATGTTTGTTGCATTGCTGAAATCTTTTGCAAATCAATTAAAACTCATGCTTGAGAACAATGGTGGGCCAATCAAGCAATATTGATACTTGGAATTACTTGTTTGATTGAATTAAAATCTTATTTTACTTTGTTATGCTCTCATGGAAAAAAGTGTATTTATTTTGCAACACCCCTAACCAAAGATGAATTCATCAGCAGATTTACTCAATCACCTACCTAGATAGAACGCCCATAGTGACAGGGACAGCAAGTGATGATAAGGGACAATAAGCCATTTCATCTGTATATCATAACTTTCAGAAAAGAGAAAAACCAAAAGGACTTGGTGAATGGACATTTTAGTGTACTATTTTATTTCTGTTTTAGGGTTGTTCAAGGGATTTCATGATCCAGAAAGCAGGCAAGCTGTAGACTGTATATTTCAATATTTTGATTCAAATGTTTGCTAGAGGACATATGATGCAAGAAAATTCATGAAAGTAAAGCGCCCATAGAAACTACAAATAAAAATACAAACTCAAAATATCAGTAAAGTATTCAATGAATACATGATTGAATCATTTCAGTGGCAGTTAGCAAGTTATTCAGTTCTGTGACTCAGGTAGTAAACTAAACAGTAAGTTAGCTAGCATGTTTGTTATTGGTCGATTAGCAAAGTTAGGCTTATAAAGAAAAGTAGCCAGTAACAAATGTTAAAGAAGAAACAACTTAATTTATTGTTAAATGGACTAGACTTGGCACTATTTTTAATAAAAAAGTACAAAAGAACCTGCAAAATGATGGAGCACAACATGAAAATACTAATGTCCAGAGACACAGTGTCAACCGACTTGGTAAAAACACTACATCAATGATCAAACTGTCCCAGTGTCAGTTCAAAACAACATAATGGGTGTTGTTATTCGAAATTCAATATCCTGGTATGAAAGTTTATAACAACAATAATTACAACTGTGAAGCTTTTACTGCTTCAATTAAAAGCCTAATTATTTATTTTAACACAATCTAATGCTGAAAAGCATCTTCTATACTTAATATAACATACATACTACAGGAAATTTTTCCCAAAAAGGAACAAACAATACTGGAACTTTAAATTTCATTCCAGAAAACAAGAACAATTAATACTATTATGAAACTTAAGAACATTTCAAATAAATGTAAAGTAACCCTTACATGAGAAAAGTTGAATAGTTCCATTGTTGTTTTCTTCCAAGTGCTTAATTTCAATTGATTTCTAGGTGACAGAGCATATACAGACTTAATTACTGTACTAGTTTGTTTTTTTTTTAGAAAAGTCTGTATAAGTAAACAAAAAACCATAGATGTAGGGTAAAAGCTAAGTTGTTTAGCACTAGAGTTCTAACTATTTTTTATTTACTGTTGGGTATATATCAATTTTTCTTGTGCAGATATCTTATAAGTGGAAAGCTATAAATGTCTTTACATTACATAAATTAACTCCATATTACTGACTTTCTTATCTTTAAACATTTCACCTTTACACATATATATATCTCAGTTGCTGGAAGATTAGTGGCTGCTTTTCACTAAAGAAATTAGCTAACTTGTTTAATCCCATGATGCTGACTCCTATAAATGTCTTTACATTACATAAATCAACTCCATATTACTGACTTTCTTATCTTTAAACATTTCACCTTTACACATATATATATCTCAGTTGCTGGAAGATTAGTGGCTGCTTTTCACTAAAGAAATTAACTAACTTGTTTAATCCCATGATGCTGACTCCTATACTTCTAAACTTTTTTACACATAATTTAATAAGTAAAAAATTAGTAGGGTACTTTAAAAATTACTTGAGATTTTGGATATTACATTTCAAGAGACAGTATGTTTGTTTGTAAAGGAATTTTGCACAAAGCTACATGAGGGCTACCTGCACTAGCCATCCATAATTTAGCATTGGGAAGGCAGCTAGTCATCACCACCCACCACAAACTCTTGGGCTACTCTTTTACCAATGAATAGTGGGATTGAACATCACATTATAACATCCCCATGGCTGAAAGGGTGAGCATGTTTGGTGGGAAGGGGATTCAACCTGCAACCCGCAGATTGCAAATTGAGCGCCCTAATCATCCGACCATGCCAGGACTTCGAGGGACAGGGAATCTGTGATAATGCATGAAGCAGGTAAACAGTTATTATGAGTTACAGTAATGTCTGTAAGAAGTCTGGTGTCACAGAGAGAAGGTAAAGGTTGTTCTATTAATGCCCAAAAACAGAAAATACCTTACACCTTCCGATGTTCTAATATAATCACAGAGTAATTATCTGGTACTGTGAATTATAAAAAGTACTTAAACATCTGTCTACTAAATTTTTACTGTAAGGCTATTATTACAGTATGTAAACAGCATAAGAAGTCTTGAAAATCTAAACATATTTGAATTTCTTACATTAAGTGACAAAAAAGCAGAAAATCTACTTACAGCTATGTATTTTCCCATATTTTCACTTATAAATAATGTTTGTTTTTTATACTAGTCTTATAGTAATGTCATAGCATTACAAAGCGATAGCGTATATGACTGAACACTGATCCCAACCATTTTTTTTTAGTTTGTACTCACTTCAATCACAGCCTAAAGATGAGCTACTCACATCAATTTGTGTGTTAATAAAAACCCATGTTAAGTGTAGTATACTGTATACTATCAAAAATGGCAACATGAAGATGTAGAAGATAAAGATGAGTTACGAATTATGTCCATGTTTGTATATGTAATAACTTAAACAGTGAATACATATATATATACGCACAAACAGAATAAACAATCATCTAATTATCAATTTTTATTTTTTTTGCTTTCATAGCATTTGTATATCTCCTGGACATCTTGTTAAGTAGTTTTTCTTTGCTTTCTATATATCTCAAACCTACTTTAATTAATGCACGTCCACACACACAGTCAAGTTCATTTGTGTTCAACTTGCATTTGGTTATTCCTATTTAAAACACAATCTCCACTTGTAAACAACACTATCACTCATTATCTTTAACTGGCAACTGTTTTTTGAAAAACTACTCATATTTACCCATTGCAGTGTAGATATTCATGTTTAACAAAGCATAAAGTGTCACAAACATCCAAAATAAGTGTTCCAGTGTGCTGATATCAAAATTTTAAACATAAAACATTTTAAAGAAAAATATTTATGCAAACATATATATGATGGTCTACAGTTTCGTATCATGTCAAAACTTAAGTGGTACTTAGCTCACTTGAATGCAAGCAAAGTAACAACAAGCGCCATCCCAGGCATTATTTACACAATTCAGATAATTATCAAGACCTTTGGCTTACGTTAAAGCTAAAAAATATGATTAAGCTTAAAGTAACTTAAAACTGAAATAAACTTTTTAAGTTTTGATCAAAGTAAAAACAGAAGTGCACGGCAAGTTTAGCCTATCTATGTATACACATACAGAGTTGTCAATTCATCAGGATTTAAAATAACTTGCTTCTTATTATCTTTATCCTTCCTGATTCATCTGGCTGAATTTTGTTTTTGACCAAGTTCAGTTAACTGATTAAGTTTTTTGGTCAGACTAGAGATATAAGCTTCATGAATCTTTGAAAGAAATTCATCATCATTCTGCAAACAAAGAAAAGAAACAACTGTTATCAACAGCAAAAAATTTACATTGTTATAAGCTATATTTTCTTTATATGTTGCACTTCAGATGTTAGGTAGAGAGCACATGACATTAATTTCAAAAAGTTTAATAACATAGACCTAAAAAAAACAATCACCTAATTAAACTAATTCACTGCTTGCTGAAACAAAACACACACTGACTAATTCATTCTGTTCACTAAAGTATTTCATTCTCTGATATTGGATCAATAAGCCATGAAGTTGTACAAGTAACTTTATTTTCATGTTAGTATAGTGCAGTAAACATGGCTGTAAACATTGTCTACAACTTACTACAGTGTTTAAGCTTATAGAAATGTTAAAGAAACTAATTTTTTTTATGTACTGGACATTCAATTATTTTTTCTAGATAACTTAGAAAAAAACCCACCAATGAAAGAACAACCTTACAGCAATAGAAATATCTCTTAGAGAATGGTGTGGCACAGAGAATATTCTACTTATAAAAAATACATTTTAGTTAAAAACAAGTGATGCAAGCCTCTACACACATTGCATAAAGCACAAGGCATTACACTGGTGCTTTTTATTACCACACCAACATGCCCTCATACAATGTTTAGTTGAAGTAAGGACCAAATGAAATATGTTATAATTCAAGTACATTCTACTCCAACTTGCACTTCCAACAGAAGCAAATAAAACTTGACTTTTGAAAGAATTTGTTTTCCAAAATTCTTAATCAAACACTGTAAATATAAATGATAAGATAAAGCAGAATAGTTTGACTTCTCTATCATCAGTTACATACGGATTCTCTTTTAGTATATAAATGCATACACAGTAGGCCCTCCTTACTTGTATTATAAACAAGGCCCTCCTTACCATTAGCATGTAAACTAAAGCCTCCTTCAGCTGGTCTTTAGTTAAAGGAGATATTCCTATGGGAAGTCGGGGTAACACGTTGTCTCGAAACAAATCTGGAGGTATCAGGTCAGATGAGTAAGCAGAGTTCCTAGCAATTCCTGCATTATATTTAAAAAATAATAAAAGGGCTCTGCAATTCCCCTAAAAAACACACAGTAACAGTAATTCTTTTACAATATGCACACAATAATGAGAGATAAACAATTCCTGTAACCTAAGTACAGAATATCAGCAACCTTCTGTTAAGTATACACATACAAAATAACAAGAGGTATCTACAATTTTTACCATGTATTTACACACTGACAAAGTTGAAATTATTAGGTCATCAAGAAATTAATGTAGCATTTTGGAACACTTTCATTAACCACTTCCCCACAAAAATGTACCTCATGTATAATAGTTAAATGAATCGCCTAAACATCACGTTAGTGTAACCTATATAATGTGTAAAGTTTAGTATACTATAATCCCTTATAGTGATGGCACACGATGAGACACACATTCGGCATGTACTGCTGTTTGAATACAAGAAGGTAAACCACGCCTCTGTAGTTTAATGCTCTGAAGACGCTTGTTGAGTCTAACCCAAGACAATGCACTCGTGAAATGGCTCTGAAATTGCATGTCTCTATTGAAACAATACGTAAACATCTAAGGAATATGGGAAACTCTATAAAGAAGATGTTTGGGTGCCTCACAAACTCTCTGATGATCATCATTTCCAATGTGTGAATGTTGGTTCGTCTATTCTGGCGCATAATGCATGTGAACCATTTTTGAACAGAAATGTCACTGGTGATGAAAAGTGGATTCTCTATGTGAATATTAAATGCCAAGAACAATGGCTCAGTCCTAGACAAAAACCACTTCCAACTGGAATGTTTAAATCAAGCCCTTCATGAGAAACATCCTTCACTCGTCGATAGGAAAGGTGTTATTCTCCACGACAATGCATGTCCACATGTGGCACGTTTAATGCAACACAAGATTATGGATTTGGGTTGGGAAGTTCTCCCCTACCAACCATATTCTCCATATATAGCACCATCAGATTACCATCTTTTTCATTCACTGCAACACCATCTTAATGCAAATGTGGAATATGTTAGAGAAGATATTGACATATTTTTTGCTTCAAAGCCAAGTGACTTCTTTAATCAGGGCATTAACAACCTAACTGTAAGATGGAAAAGCATCATTGATAAGAATGGAGACTGTTTCATTTAATAAATCTTTTGTTTTGATATATATATAAATTGTTCAGGTTTTTTTCACTTTATAAAAAGTGACATTAATTTCTTGACGACCTAATACTTCTTATCATGTACTTACACCCTAACAGCAAGGTTGAATCTACTTCTTACCATGAACTTACACTGACAGCAAGGTTGAATGTTAACATTGTCTAACACTGAAAATGTATTTTCAATAGGTACTTACCCCCTCTCACCCAAAGCTATCTCAATCTTAATTTGTCCTCAAAGCATTGTTAAAAATTTCAAAAGTGCACCAGCCTATTATACCACTTCATTTTTGCACCATTGCAGCAACACGTGCTGATTGTGAGACTACTCTCCACCAGTCATACTGCACCATCTATTCTAGCACAGGTAGCTCCCTCTACCATAGCAGCACAATCATCACTTTTGAGAATTGGCAGATACAAACCAAAAACACCGATAAATCAGTGGGGAGGAAGGGTGTGTGGTGGGATAGTTAAGGTAAGTACCTATAGGAAAAATATTTTCAGTGTTAGAAAATGTTATCTTCCAAAATGGTATTACCTCCTCTCACCCAAGGCTAGAATCCCACGTTGCAATGGTGGAGGGGCCAAGGAAGGTGGAAAAATAATCAAACAAGCAGAGAACAACATCTGTGAAAGAATAGGTGTGCCACAATTATAAAAGGAGGCACACCTGTGGGGTATAGCACTACTTCTGGAACAGGTATGCTCTTCAACCAGTAATGAACAATTTAAGACACATAGGGCATCATGTCCTGTAAAATAGATTCCACCCATGGACAACAAAGAGTACATAAGATGTCCACATATGTAATGTGCATGAGCATGTGACTACAATGAA